ATTCACCAGCACTTCACAGACATGCGCAAAGAAAAGCATCTGTACTCTGAAAACTGTAAAGAACATATTCAATGCAGTAATAATATAGCTCTGCCTTTGATCCCAGCATTAGAGCTGGATGGAAGTTGGCTACAGTCTCTGATGCTGATCTTTCATAAAGAGATGCCATTAGTATGGTTGCTTTCACTGCTAGCAAACATGCCAGTTTTGATTTCTAGAAATTCCATCTTGATATCAAATTCTATTCAGAATTTATCCATGGAAAGATGGGCTTTCTTATCAGAGAAACCTTGAGCCAACTACCGTGGGCAGTTTCCTTTCAGTGCAAACTTCTTTAGCAAGAGCTTTTGAACTGACAACTCAAAAATATTTTGTTATGATTGTTTCAAGATTTATCAGCTGTGACATCATGACACGTTGTTTTATAGCAGTGATGTCACTTCATTGGATAAAAACAACTCTCGCATCTTCCCACAAAAATATAGTTGTTTTTAATTTTATTACATACTTTTTTTTTATACATCATTAATAAAATGCTAGAATTCTGGGACCATGGCTCTGAACTCTGAGCCAGCCCAAACCTTCCTGATGTCATGTAAATTACTATTTGGTTCAGGTTTTCTGCACCTCTCATCAGACTCTGCAAAGTCTGTCTCACACCTCTGTCAGCAGTCACAATGTTAGAACTGCAACGTGTTGCCATTCATAAGTGTCCTTATGCTTCCGAGTGGGCTGGCAGAATCTCCAAGGCAGAGGGCTGGGGGAGGAGATGGGAGCCTCTGATTAAGGAATGAGGGAGTGCCACACCGGACTGACTCCAGATCAGAGTCCTGTTCCCAGGGAACAATTCCTTAAGTGAGGAGAGAGCCCCATTCTCAGTTCATGAGCAGCTGTCGCAATTAAATAAGGAGGGGGGGGTGAGGAGTACTTAATTGATCTGGGAGTATTAATAAGCCTTATATATTGCTGTGCAGGCATGTGTCTACATTGCAGGCACCAGGCTTTTGGTTTGGGCTCCGTTTCTTTCTTAAAAATAAATAAATACTTTTAGTGTTCATGCAAGTGAGACTGAGAGCTAGGAAATATGCCTAACACTTCCATGCCGCTGTGACAAAATATCCAATCCTTACTTACACACTTGTGTTCCCTTGCCCTCCACACACACCCTAGTCAATTATGGGCCTATACACAGCTTTGCTGATGCACCTCAATGATAGTGTGCAGGAAGCCATACTGTTCCAGGCCTGGGCTGCCAGGCCAGCAGTGAAATGATATTTCTGACCTGGGGAGAATACCTGGTGTTTTGCAAAGGGCTTGGTGGAAAGGCTACTGGAAGGCAGGATTCCCTGCCATCCTTTTCCAGATAAGGAAAGAAAAGAAGCAGCTATCTTAGAAGTTTGTTTCCTTAATAGCCCTCCGTGGAATTCAATGTTTGTTAAAAGTAGATAGAAACCCAAATCCTTCCAACGTGGATTCTTAGTGTCTCAAACTTCTGAATATTTATCTGGGTTTTAAGTACCATTTCGAGTGGAAAGGAAGGAAAAAATCATTGTAAATTTGTTCCTTTGCCTTAGAACAAAGAAAAAGTGAAGTTCTGCTTTGTTACACTGGTACAAATCTGGACTAACTCCATTGAAGTTGAAAGGAGCTACCCAAGATTTCCATTGTACTGTCACTGTGGTGTGAATCTGTTTTCACCAGCACGTGCTGCTTTTAGGCTGGATCTTACAAACAGAAGAGAGACGCATGATAGACAAGCCCCTGAACTGTGAGTTTTCTCTGGCAGTGGGTATGCCTGAAGTTGATGCTACAGAAAGACTAGAAGCAGTAGTTTAACCTTTCCTCACAGTGTTGGGTAACGGGTTAAATGAAAGAATGGTCCCCGCCAGGAAAAAGGGTCTAGTGGCAAAACAAGTCAATGAAGCTAAAGCACAGGGAGAGGAAATGTATATCTCTGTCAACCGAGATGTTAACAGTGAATTGCAAAGGAAATATACAAATGAAGTTAAACTAGATTTCTGTTCAGAATGCCCCCTCTAACCTGACTGCAAGGGGCATTCACAATGAAAATACCCTAAAGGTTAGTTTGGGGGGCAGGGGGGGAACCCTCTATCTCTTGAAGTTTTCTGGGTCTGTCTTCTCCTAATGGCATGCATTAGATAAAGTCCATAAAATACATCATTCCATGACATTAAATCCTGGGATTTCATGAGTGAACCAGGAAATACCAGGAGAAGCCCTTACTTTTTTCTGCACCCAATTAATCATTTTCCTGCACCTTGTGCAGTCAGCTATATCTGTGCAAAGCAAACCATTCTGATTTGGTAGCCTCTTATACCCACTTTCCTCTGCACCTGTATAGTCATTTACACTAGTACAGAGTGCATACAATAATGAACTAGGCCCTCTATGTGCAACTGAGAGCCATGCTACCAGAATCTTGTGCTGGCTGAGTCCACACTCTGTGCAAATGAAGAGGAGGAAAAATCCAAGGGGGACCCTTGGTGGGGGTGAGTAGCGAAGCAGGGTAATCATATTGGCTGAGACAGGAAGTTAGAGATGGAAGGGAAGAAGTGAAGGAGTTGGGGGTGGGGGAAGGGTGAAAAGATTTGAGATACGGGACATTTTTTAAGTAATCAGGGTTTTTAGAGGCTGCTAATGATTAAGTGTCTAATTTAATATTAAAGTTATTTTCTTTGCCCTTTTCCTGTATGGAGAGAATTGCCTCAAATTCACCAAGATGCTCATAACATTCCTCTCCCCACTGCATCTGGGAACTTGCAGCCCCCAAAACCACATATTATTTAAAAATTGTCCCTAAAAATATTTTCTTAATGGGACCCCTGTGTGTAATCAAAATCAGGGCAGCCATTCTCTTATGACTTCACATGAACATGGCAGCATTTTTGATACCTACAGGAGAGGGTGACCATTAATCTCTGTAAGAGGCTGTGGGGGTTGTGGGCGGGGGCAGCTAATTTAAAGGACTTCTTTTCCTTGGACAGGTTGAACAAATGTGCATCCAGGATCTCATCCTGAGAGATGCTGAATACCTGCAGCTCCCACGCAAGTCAACCAGGGTTAGGTACTGGGTACTACACAGAACGAGACCCTCCATTTGGAAAGTCTTGAATTGTATATTTTGAAGAAAAATGCAGCTTCTGAGCTATTGTAAAGACAGTGGAAAACTACCAGCTTACACCAGAACAATACTGCAGTTCCAAGCAGGTGCCGGGTTGGGTGGGGGTGAGGGAAATGAAAGTTTAACCTTGAATGAAATTATATCTAAGGATGTTGTTGATACTCTGCAGCAAAACTGATGTCTTTTATGCAGTTAAAAACAGATGGTCAGGAAGCTTTCTCCTTTGGAAAAGTTTTTTGCCTGGAGCTATTATTTTCTTTTGCATACAAGGGGAATAACCTTTTTTTTCCCAAAGATGAGAAAGTCACAAGAAATATTTTGAGACATTTTATAGTGGGCTTAATTTTCAGAGCTGCAGCCATGGGGTCACACGCTCCAGTGCTGTTACAATTAACCTCTTCTCTACTGCCAGAATACACATGAATCTTGACAGCAAGGTTTTACAATAATGGCCACAACTGGTTTGCATGCGCCCCTTTATGCTGCTCCAGTGACCAGATACCAGCCAGATCATTACAACAGGGAATATATCCAGTATAAGGGGGTTCCCTGGCCCTTTGTAGGGCTAGTAGAATAGTTGTACGCCACCTTGGTTGTGCCAAGACCAGCCCAGAGGAGGGAAGGGGGACATTGAAGGAGGGAGGTATAATAGTTAATGCTAACAAACATTGTGGAAGGGATATTAAACCTCATACTTCAGGACTTAAGCCAATCTCTATTAGAGATCAGAATGAGACTTAATGTGAGGAGCAGATTAACCCATAGCTGCCTATTGCAGATTTCTTACACCTTCCTCTGACCATCTAGCATTGGCCACTGTAGAGACAGGATACTAGACTAGATGGACCTTAGATCTGATCCAATATGGCAATTCAGTATAGCAGTTCCTGTGCTCTACTAAGTGGAGTATGACTGCATCATAAGAGACAAACTGGGCAAGGAAGGAGCGCAGAAGAGAAATTACTGCATTACAAATTAGTCGTTACTTATTTATGTGCTCAATCAGACACAATACACTGCTAAATGCCGAAGACTATTTATGTTTTTTTTTTTTTTTTTTTTTTTTTTTTTTTTTTTTTTTTTTTT